GGATCGCTGCCTCCTGCACCCTCCACACTGGGGATCGAGCCCACAGCCCGGGCATGTGCCCAGACCGGGAATTGAACCCTGACCTCCTGGTTCCTAGGTCAGTGCTCAACCACTGAGCCACACCGGCCGGACCCAATTGCCTGATTTCCCATCTCACCTTTCTGTGTGGAGTGCCGGTACTTACGTCCTCTGAAGGGGCTCCCTCGGATGAAAGTGGGGTCTCATTCACTACCGTGGGCGTCTCCAAAGGTTCCCCGGTCGCCGTGGCCTCTGAATTCGCCCATGGCCCTTCCGCACAAGGTGCAGCATTTGCACACGGCACCTCAACGCGAGGGAGAGAATTCTGCACGCAGAAAAATAGACACAATGATCAGAGCCCCCTCACGACCTTTCAACCCTCAGACTGACCTCAGAGCCCTAAGACCCACCCTGTTCTCTCTGTGGGCCCGGCTCCCCAACTCGACTATCGGTATTTATTCAAAACTAGAGGCCCGGTGCACGAATTCCTGCATGGGTGGGGTCTCTAGGCCTGGCCGATCAGGACCTGCCAGTGAGGGGGAGAGATGGGGGAGGGTGCATCCCTGACCGGTGTGGCTCAGTGGATAGAGCGTCTGCCTGTGGACTGAAAGGTCCCGGGTTCGATTCCCGGGCAAGGGCATGGACCCGGGTTGCGGGCACATCCCCAGTGGGGGGCGTGCAGGAGGCGGCTGATTGATGTTTCTCTCTCATCGATGTTCCTAACTCTCTATCCCTCTGTGAAAAATCAATAAAATATTTTAAAAAAACAGAGTGAGGGACGTTGGCCGTGGGAGCGTACTAACCACCAGCGAGCAGCTCCTGCATTGAGCGTCTGCCCCCTGGTGGTCCGTCGACGTCATAGCAACCGGTCGACCGGTCATTCCAGACGTTTGGTCCTAACAATCACTTAGGCTTTTATATACATAGATGTGAGGTTGGATCACATAATTGTTTGTTCATATATTTGTTTCGGATACATTTTTATTGATTTCAAAAAGGGAGCGGGAGAGAGAGAGACACATCCATGAGGAGAGAGAATCATGGACCGGCCGCCTCCCGCACGCCCCCGACTGGGGATCGAGCCTGCAACCCGGGCCTGTGCCCTTGACCGGGAATCGAACCCGGGACCTCCTGGTTCCTAGGTCGATGCTTAATCACTGAGCCAGTCCGGCCGGTATTGACTCGATTCTCAACTCCCGTGTTCTGAGGGGATCCCC